CTAAGAATATTGTGTTTAAACAACAAATATCTACCTACGTAAATACTAATTTCAGTTTTAAATGTTTCTTTAAAAAGATCAACACTAGTTTCTAATAATAATCTTATAAAAAATAAATACACAGAAAAAAATAAATATATGTTTTCACATAGGTGTGAAAAGGTCCATGTGAAAAGATCCATTTATTTTTAAAAATGTATTTCCTGGGCCCTTTGAGATAATATTATATAAATTACTTATCTTTTTAATGTATTATATATTAATATTTCTTTGGGTGCCAATAATATATTCAGGGGTCAGAAAAACATTAACTACATCTATGTTTTTGTGGAAATTTTTGATATCTTCAGAAGTCCACTGAAGTTTTATGCAAGCACTTCTTATGTAATACAAAGGTTATTTCTACTTACTTTCACCCATTTGCTTCTAATTTTTATTGTCCTCAATATTAGATTTATAGATTCAATATCAATTAGCTTTGAAAAAAGCTATAAGCTGTAAGAATGATCATTAATCCATACATTGGGGTTTCTATATTCCACAAATCTATTAATAAACACTCAAACATATCAAACCATCTCTCTGTTACTGGAAGAAAAAACCCTAATCTGTAATATATTTGATAAACCACTTTTTAAAAAATAATAAGTAATAAATAAATAAATCTATCTTTCTAAATCCCTAAGTATAACACTTTGAAATTCCAAAAATGTTGTTTAAGATACATATGAAAAGGAACTCTTATTTCCTTCCAAATTAAAACTTTGCAAATAAGTTTATTATAAAGATTAACCTGCTTCACAGGCCTAAATAACACAATTCAAGTAATAAAGGCATTTCATGAATTACCCCAAAAAGCAAGAATAAAGCAGCATTATCCTACCTCAAGACATTCACAAGTTTTAACAGAGCAATAGGCATGATCATCTTTGAAGGCTAATTTGCTTTTGAAGAGTATATAGACATGAAAACGTTAAATGATGCTGACATTTAGAAAGAAATTCAATGGTCAATAAGAAACAGCAATGAAAATGTGGTTGCAGCTTGTTCCTCTTTCTTAAATGTGTATGTTAGTGATCAAGTGCCTCAAAGAACACAGATTACTACTTTACTTTTGAGCTGCTGGCTGTTTTCCTTCATCCTTGAAACTAGGGTAACAAGGGTCCAGTTGACCTTGTAGCGGATGATAATCCTTGCAGCATTTTCCCCATAAAGTTCAAGTTGTTTTGTAAATAGTTTTCCAGTTGCCCTAGTTTTCCGACCCATTGACCTGAAAGCCATCTTGTATCTTCAGTAATCTCACAATTTCTTCTTACATATAAATAATAATAGTACTTATCTCATTGTGTGGCTGTGAGGATAAAATGAGTTAATTCACTTCAAATGTCTAGAATAGTGCTAGAAACATGATAAAACAAAACCAAAAACAAACAAACGACAACAACAAAAAACTACCATGCTAGTTGCTCTTATCATTATTGCCCTCATTAAATATGAAAATTAAAAGATACACATATAATTAAGCAACATTCTTCTAAAATAATTTAATCTAAAATATTATCAAGGCAAAAATGTATGAATTAGCCTCTATCTCATCTTCCTTCTAATCTTAAAATAGATTACTATTTACATAGTATTTGTTTTCATTTTGGTTTCCAGGAAAGACTTTGAAATCAGAACAATCTGTTTTGAATCTTGTCATTTCTATTTACTAGTTATTTGACCCTAGCAAAGTTAATCTTTCTAAGCTTCCCTTAATCCAGTTATAATATAAGAATAATACCCACTTCAAGGTGTTATTGGTAAAATTAAATGAAATAATTTGTGTAAACACCTAACACGTAACCTGGCCCATAGTAAGTGCTTAGTGACTATTTCTTTTCCATTGCTCTTCCTTGTTTTCAAATGTGATGATCTAAAAATATTGACTTTGATAAGAGTAAAGCCAATTTTAGCTCTGTGCCATAATTTTAATCTATTCTCAGTTGCTTTATAGTTAAGAATCAATTATTCTAATTTTTTTCTATTAGCTCAGAGAGAATTGAGCACAAAATTATGAGAATAAGAAGTAATTGTGGACTTTTAACTAAAGGTCTTTATTGAATACACACATGAAAAACTTATTCTAATCCTTTATAGAAAATTTGATAATAAAAAACTTATTGTTTCCCTGTGAAACCTGTCAATCGCTTTTACCTAGGTCAAGGAAATATCATCTATAATATAACTATAAACATTTATCGTTGTTCAGAAAATCATTCTTAGCTTTGTTTAACTCTATTTTTTATGTTGTCAAAGAAATAAATACTTATGCGAACATGACTGAGAAAGCTGGAAAAATATAAAGAACTAGAAAAAATATCAGTCATAATCTCATACTCAAAAAGAACCATTGTTTAAACATTTTATTCTATTTTTATGCAGAAAATCCATTTAATTTTCAAATATTTGAAACAACCTTTGCAAGATTATGACAATGAGAGAGCTCTAGCATGACTGACTCTATCTTGCTTCTAACCTCACAGGCTGGCTGTCCTCACTCATTCCTGGGTGTAGACCAGGCTAACCACGGGAGCAATTTAGTTTATAGCTTAACTTTAAAGCAAGGATGATAATAGCCCTTCCCAAAACAAACCACCTTTATAAAACTGATAAAACTAATGAAAGACCACAAGGTTAGGATTATGAGAAAGGCCTGAATTCTGCCAAGATACAGGCATAACCGATAACCACCTATTGTTCTGAAGGTCACAAGATTTGTGACCAATTATTTCCTGTAGATAACATCACTATTTTAGAACCTAAGTTTGGCTTTTTGAGATTTTATGGACTTTTGCATTTCTGGAGACCAAATGATTCCACCTGGATCCTTGATTCAGCTGATCCTGTGGTCCCCACCCAGAGGCTGATTCAGTGTACAGGACTGTTTTCCACACCCCTATGATTTTATCCCTAAACGGTCAACACTTCCCATTCCCTGCACCCTCTGCCTACCAAACTATTCTTGAGCCATCCTAACCTTGGGGGCTTCAGGGAGATTGATTTGAGTGATAACTCCAATTATTTTGCATGGCCATCCTGGCATCAATTAAACTCTCTTTACTGCAAGACTGTGACCTCAGTGAATTGGTTTTGTCTGTGCAGTGGGCAAGAAGAACCTGATGGGCAATTAAATATTCATAAACATATCTCACATTAGAAAAACTATGAAAACCTCCACAAAGGTAAAGTTTTGGGCATGCGCTTGTACATGTAGCATGGGGCTGATCCAGGGAGATGAGCTCCATGTCTTGGAGGAGGGAGTGGAGCAGGCTCTTCCGGCGGCAGAGGCACCTGGAGTGCTCAGAGTTTGGGACAAGGAGAGCCAAGTAAATAAAATTACATGGAGGAACCCATCATGTCCGGGGGTTGAGGTCTACTAGGTTAGGGAAAGGTCACCTATAGTCAAAGTTAGCCTTAAGCATGCCATAAATTGCCTGAAAGAGCAGAGAGGTCACACTAACATAAGAAGGACTGAGTAAAGAGCAGATTCTCACTTCCCATCTCCTTCATTTTCCTTCTCACACTACTGCCTAGAACCTAGCCTTTGAATGAAATGACAGATAGCCTCTCTGAACTACATACATTTAAATCATTCTCTTTCTCTAATTCCTTCCCCCTTCTTTTACATAGAGCGTGGAGTCAAATTCTGAAAAATTAAATATGCACACACAGCATCTTTGTTACCTGACACTTATTCTTCTTATACCTTTAATGTGTCCAGTAAAAGCAGAAAATACACTACATTTAGAATTAAGGGAGACTCTATAGTTACATTATTATGCATTTGAATATATATATACACACACACACACATACATATATGTGTGTATATATATATAAATTATAAACCAATCCCAGAAACTCCTCCTCCAATCTTTCCTTGGCAGACCATTTAGAAAAATATATTCAATGTTCCTCTATTTGTTGGGCTTCTTCTACTATAAGGATTTCCACAGTTACTATGAGTTTATGGGATGGTGCTGAATTTTCTAAGCAATAAGATTTTTTCACCACCTTAGCAGAAGTAGGAGCCCAACAGAAGAGATGTCAAACATACTGAGAATTAAAGAGCTACAACTGGCCTTAAAATCTTATAAATTCTATAGTACCAATATGGATCTGGAAAGAGATGGAAATACTCCTTCAGGGACTTAAAATTCTCTCTGCAACTCTCTTTCCCTGCTTTTCTAGTAAATGCAAGATACCTGTGGACCAGAGAGGTATTCTGAGTATGGACCACTTGTCTGGATGGTTCAGAAAGCAGCTTTTTATTAAATCTGGAACTATTTTGTAGTAAGATTCAAGCTAGGTAAGTATATAACAAGTCCAGAGTTTTATTTCATAAGGAATAAGGTTAAGGACATTAGTAATAGAAAAACACAAATTTAATTTAAAACTAAAGATGCTCCTTGGGAGAAATTTATCCCCATGGTGTTGAACTGTATTTGATTTCAGACAATGCACAAAAAAATCAGCCATGGCCTGAGTGAAAGCACAACACCATATTTCTTCTGCCATCTCCTCCAACTCAGAGCTCATTCCTGGAGGGGGAAGAGGAGAAGTATGGACATCTGGAAAGCATTTAAGGTAGAAAATGCATTTGCAAGATCCAAGCCTGCACTGAGGATGGATGTTCACTATCCTGTGGGAAAGGGTGGTGCATCACAAGAAGAAGACTGGGAAGGACTTCAGGGAGTAAAATTTTGGGGAGGGAAGAAACAAATAAGTTATAAAATGAAGATGGACACATGGCATAAGGAATCAGGTTTGACCACTGTGGGGCTCAAAGGACTTTATTGGCTAAACCAGAGCCATGGCCCTCCTCCATCCAACTCTACAGGTTTATGGTTCCTGCTGAAATATTTTAGTGAAGAACAGCTTAAATCTCCCTGGAAGTTCAGTGTGTTATGATATAGAAAAGGAGTGGTAAAGTAGAATTTGGGACTGAGAAAGGATACTTTACCCTGATTTGTCCCTCTACCAAGACAAAAAGGGAAAGAAGGAGTGCAAGTTCCTGTTTCCTAGATCACAGAAGAAAGGAACAGAGGCCCAACTACAAACCTTGGTGAAGCATTGTGACATCAGAAACATCTCTCTGCCTTTATTTTCCTGATGACCTGTGGGTGACAGTGAGACGAACCAACAGCTATTAATTATTAAGCAGATGATCAGGTGATCCATAACTTAATTTTGAGAGAGGAAGAAGAGAGAGCTAAAGTACATGTAGCCCAAAAAAATCATGTCTTGATAAATGGACTATGTATGTGACATAGGCAAAGTTTCCAGATACCAGGGACGAAGGTCAGATGCTGAAATGTAAATATGCCTCTAAAGGAAACAGTTTGGTGGAGAGCTTAAAGTGAAGGTCAGTGAAAGTTTGCCTTCCCAATTGTAACTCCTATGGCAAAAGAGAATGTACGTTGATTCTTATGAGAAGTATATTATTATTTCAGGCATAGAAAGTAAAAGATTGTATTTCTGCTGACTCGAGCTAATGAGTTAATTTAATGTTAGTTTGCATATTAGAAGTTTTAGCAAGATAAGTTTTAGGCAGATACGTCTGCTGTTGCATAGGAGGAAATACTACACAGCAAAGTTCTATCAGCAAGCTCCTTATATAGAGCCAAAGCAATTTCTGTTTGCATGTGTGTATCTATGTGCCAACTGTTCTTGGGAAAATGGCCACTTGTTATTCTTTTTTTAGCAAACCCTCAGTTCTTTTAAGATACACTTGAGACAATTAAGTAATAAGTCTAAGATGTAGAATGCTTTTTGTTCCATTAGGTGATGATTTCTAGCTGCACTGCTGCTCTCTAATGGGTACCAAAAGGACTCATTTTGAATTCTGATTGAGTTTGGTTTTTAATATTGGTGTGAGTCAAATCATCAAAGCCAGCTGCCTCTGAACATCGACTGGGATGTTGACTGGACAGGGCAAAATATTCTGTCAATTACAGGAAGTATCTCAAGTTTCCATCTACAGAATGTAAACATCTATTAAAAATGTTGCTCTGACCTAAAAAGGCAAATTCACTATGAAGAATCAGATACTTAAACTCATTTGTTGAAAGGTGTTGGACCTTTAGTCACATTCATCTCGTGGTTTTCAGAAAACAAATTGCAAGATGGATGTTACATTTTTTTTTTTTTTTTTTTTTTTGAGACGGAGTCCCGCTGTGTCGCCCAGGGTGGAGCGCAGTGGCCAGATCTCAGCTCACTGCAAGCTCCGCCTCCCGGGTTTTTACGCCATTCTCCTGCCTCAGCCTCCCGAGTAGCCGGGACTACAGGCGCCCGCCACCTCGCCCGGCTAGTTTTTTGTATTATTATTTAGTAGAGACGGGGTTTCACCGTGTTAGCCAGGATGGTCTCGAACTCCTGACCTCGGTTTTTTACACCTAAGAGAACACTTTGATGAACTTCTAAAAATCAACACTCTAGCACAGTAGAAGGCAGTGACTGTTGATGATAAAGATCAGAAGCCTCACTGTAATTACAGCCCAAATCTGGCACTAAATATGTGTCGATTTTTACTACATACAGACGTCCTTGGCTCTTTGGACTGACAAAATGGAGGAAAAATGAGGTAGGCCCTGGTGTATCTAAAAGCAATATTTATATTGGTGTTTGCTTGTTTGTTTTCTTATGCCTGTTGTGAGGGCCTTCATTATCTTATGTAGTTTTTTTGTGCAAATCACAAAAGATATCCCTTCTGAGTGGACAAATTATAAAAAGATTACCTCTTTATTGGCACTCCTGGTTGGCATTTCTTCTCTGATCTTTGACATGGCTTTTCCAAGCTGGCTCTGCTGAGGTATTTATTCCTGCTTCTTGGAGTCAGCTGTGTTTTCTGAGGAAACCAATCTCAGTGAATTTGAATACCTTGCTCAAGGACACGCCTTTATAGATGGTGTCCAACGAAGTGAACAATAAACATGTTTCATCTCAGTCTGTGCTAGGCAACGCTGCCTTTTAGCAAGGTGATACATGGATTTAGGGCAGTTTGATGACTATACTTGAGATGACTGGAACATTAATATTCACTCTCATTAATGTCACAAAAAATACCATCTTTTGTGACATTAAATGGATTTTTTCCTGGGATTTCACGGAAAATTTAAATTCAGGTACAGTAAACTAAATATAATAAATAAATAATAAATTAATTAAATAATACACTAAATAACAAATTAATTTAAATTCAGGTTCAGTAAACTTTTGTTGAGTACTAAATGTGTAAGTGCTAATTGATAGGGGAAATAAAAAGGCAACCCAGCTAGACAAGATCTCTTCATCAAACAAGACCTATTTGTTTGGTGCAGAGAGCAGAGACAGACAAAGAAGACTCAGTCCCGTAATGGCAGATTTTATTTGCCAAAAATTGCCACAACCATATCTGTTGCAACCATATCTTCTTTTGCACATGCTCTTCTACAATGTGAGCAGGCATCAAGAGGTAGGATCTGATCCCTTCTCCTTGAATCTGGGTGCTCCTTGGAACTCTTTGACCAGCAGAATACAGCAGAAGTGATGCTCTGTGATTTCTGAGGCTGAGTTGTAAAGAGCTAAGGAGCTTTTACTTTTTCTTTCATGGGACCCTATCACTTGGAACCATGAGTCAGCCGGTTAGAGATCCAGCACTAACTGTGGTGGGCATGTAATGGGGAAATCAAACCACATGGAGAGACCTTCTGTAGTTGCTCTTGTTGACAGTTATAGTCTTGAAGTCATCCTAACTCAGGTACTAACATGTTGAGAGAATGAACCTCTAGGTGATTTCAGTCCTCAGCCATCCCGAGAACCTAGCCTTCAATTCTTCATAGCCCCAGATATATATGGAGCAAAAATAAGCTATCCCCACTGTGCCCTGCCCCATTCCCACAGGATCCATAAGCATTAAAAATTGTTAATCTATACCATTAAATTTGGGATTAATTGTTCTACAGCAATAGTAACAGAAGCGTTATTCTCCTGAGATAAGTCTGAAGTTGTGTGCAGCAGGAGGAATACTGGCAGGGGTCTGAAAACAGATGTACATCTTTTTTTTTTTCCTTTAGTTTTATGTAGCACTTTTTGTAAAGGGGGAACAAAAAGATCTTGGAAGACAAATAAGCCAATCTACCTAAAGGTCATATTTCCCAGGTGGTTTCTTACTTTGGAAATACTATAATGGTATTTTCTCAAATTGAACAGAAATATACATAAAATGTTCTAACGGAAAGAGCACAATATGTTTCAGGACAAATGAACATTAAAAAAAAATTCCCAAGACACTGTCTCCTTGATGTTGTTTCAAACACTAACAGGAGATGAGGAAGTGCTGTTATTACTTTCATTATATATTATTTGGTGCCTGAGTTACATTTTATTCAGGAGACAAAAAGAAATCCTCTATTTCTGCCCTGATGGTGTGCAATTTAAATCAGAGAGACATCATAAGTGTTTCTGACAGAACACAGTGTTCTGGTTTTTTTATGCTAATTTGAAAGTTTTCAAACAACCTAATCACCACAATGTAAAGATATCAAGTGAAATGGGAAGCAATGAGAGAACACTTTCCAGAGTTTCAAGTCTTTATTTCAACAGGATAACTCTATTTTCAATTCTTCATAAAAGAAGCCAATTGTATCCACCATAATAGTTATAAGAATTACGAGATGTTGAGTTCAGTGATGTGCAGAGAATAGTTTAAATGAATCTTAAAAAAACAAACAGAACCCACTTTAGAATTTGGCTGTAAATATGTTAGGGAAAAAAAAAGAACATAATAAAATCTACTAATTAGTTTCAAGGCCAATCTGAATTTGTAATAAGTCTGAATCAAACATTATGATAAGGAAATGTGGTTTTATTACTTTACAATAAAATAAAATAACTTCTGCAGTTTGAAAGCTGTGCAAGTTCTCTAAGACTTTTTTTTTTTTTTTTTTTTTTTTTTTTTTTTTACTAAATGGGTAATTTATAACTTGCATCATTGATCAACTGACCTCTCCTGCATCTGCTGAGAACTTGCATTTGCATAGAACTCAACAAACATGTCACAAATAACGACTGCATGTCCAGTTAATTGTCTAGGGTGTGTGGAGAATTCTAGAGAAAACAAACACATCATTCTTGTCTCCAAGAGCTTAAATTCTGTTTGGCAATTTATTTATAAGACACAACTAGCTAAAAATACAAAATGGTTTCTAATTCTAGTTTGTGCTGTAGGAATTCTGAGAGAAGTCGGATTGAAGGAATTACTAAAGATTTCCTGGACAACACGAGCAGAAATTAGTTAGATTTCTGAGACTATAGAACTCTATTTGGACCACAAGACAGAAAATTCTTACTTAATTTACCTTCTGTATTTTAACAGCTTGAAGAAAAAGTGTCTTTCCAGGTATACAAAAGGTAAAGCTTGGTCCTGACTAGCATTTAGATACCAGATGATTTAATTTAAGCCACATAAATTAATGAGATTTTTTAAAAATCAGCTTTTAAAATAATCAGACATACACACATATTCTATACAATATGAATGGTTAAAGTATCAATAATAAGTACCATCAGTCATTGACAATGGGGTTGGCTTGCATTAATAGTTAATTTGACTATCTCTGGGACATGATACAAGAGAAAAATAGCAGGTTTAGACTCAAAAGACATGAATTTGCATCTAGATGATTCTTTCTACCAGTTTTGTGGCTGAAAAAGTCATTTAAATATTTGTAACTCAATCCGAGCTAATAATGGATCTCAATCACATAGGACAAAAGGGAAATGTATTTTTTGACCCTACAGTAAAATAAAATGACTTTAGTCATCAGAAAATGATCTTTCAAATGGAATATCAATGACCTCTAAATCAAAGTTTCCTCATCTGTAAAACAGACCTGATAAAACTCACCTCATACAATTTTTTGTGATGTTTAAAAAAATTGAAATCAATAAAAGAATGTTAAGGAGAAATTTGATAACATAAAATAGGACATTATTATGAGCCTTTAATTTTGTTTTCTAGAGGCACCAAGAAAAAGAAAAAAAAAACAATCTTATTCTGGAAATAAGGATTCTATTCTGGAAATAGTATCAAACCACTAGAGATTTATTGATTATCTGGTATTTCATTACTACCTTTTTTCTGATTTAGAGAGCTCTATAAGAATAATAGCATATCTTAATGAATGACACTAAAATAATTTAACAATTTTGAGCAGTTGACTTAAAATGGGTTTTAAGTCAGAATAAAGTGTACCTTAATTGTCTGATTATGTAACTTTATTTGGCAATCTAATTTATAGGATTTCTTTTCTAAAAGAGTTTAGTTTCCATACTGGTTGCCAGTGTGTATGTGAGGTAGAAAAAAAGTAAAACTTAATGCATAAG